CCAAGGTTTGTTTTCGTTCCTTGGGTTCGGTTTCACGAAGACCCTCTCGCCGATTGTAATTTCACTGAGCTGCTTTGATACTCGTTTGTCATAGTAGGCCTTGGCCTTTTGTTTCCTTTCCGCGATGTTCTGGGTCGCCACACTTGGCACTGTTTATTGAGGCTGAAGTTTGCTTGTAGCCATGGGGATCAGATCCCGGAGTCTTCTAGACATCAATCTCTGTGCCGGGGAATAAACGTGACCCTGCTGAGGCGTATTGTTATATGCCAGCAAGGCAATTTAGGGGTGTTCTTCCCGTGATTTCTTTAAAATGTTCTTTGCAATTTTCACTGCGGACTCTGCTTTTCCATTGCAACAGCTGTGATAAGGTGAGGACTTGACCAAGGCAAATCCATAGTCGCGTGCAAACCGTGTGAACTCACAACAGTGAAACTGTGGGCCATTATCACGCGAAGTTTCTTTTTATAGCTCTGATGACAGTGCTGGCTGCAACGGTTCTGAGTGGCTCAAGTTCAAAATAATCGCCGTAGTGATCTACTATCACGAGATATTGCTTTCCATCCAGTGAGAACAGGTCGACACTTATCTTTGACCAGGGACGTGAGGGTATCTCATGTGAGAACATGGGCTCTGTTGGCCGCTCGGCTTGGTACTGGCTACAAATTCCACAGGACAAACAGGTTTCTCGGATATCCGACTGCATTCCAGGCCAGGAAAGGCATTCCCGCACTCTCCTTATGCTGCTGTCAGAACCTTGATGGGCTTTGTGTATCTTGCGAACCATCACCGCCCTTAGTGAGGAGAGTACTATGACTTGATACAGTTTAAAGAGAACGCCGTTGTCGGCTGTGTTCTCCTCTCTGTAACTCCAGCGTCCCCTAATTTCCTCTGGTACTGATTTTCTTTCATCAGGCCAGCCGGTCACTGTTACTGAGTTTAAGATGGACAGGGCAGGATCCCTGCTTGTTTGGGTTCGAATTCTTTTCAACGTGTCAGCTGTTACGTTACTGGGTTTTAGATCCATTTCCACCAATTCCATGCAAAAAACATCTGATTGTTGCGATTCAAATGGGTCGGAGTCCTTGAGCGCCGCGCGTGATAACGTGTCTGCTACATGCAGTTCCTTCCCCTTTTTGTAGGTTACTTTAAATTGGTAGTCCAGGAGTTTAAGCATCATTCTTTGCAATCTACGTGGTGCCTTGCAGATGGGCTTTTTGAAGATTGACTCTAGTGGCTGATGATCCGTATGTCCCGTACAGATATTGGTGCCATTTGTTCATACATGTGACGATTGCGAGACTTCCTTTTCGATCTGCGCGTACTGTTTTTCAGTGTTACTCAAAGTGTGCGAGGTGAAACATACAGGCTGATCCTGCTGTAGGGGAATTCCATCAACAGCATTTTCCGAAGCATCTACTTGTAGTGTTACTAAAAGGGAGGGATCATAATAGCGAAGTGTAGTCGCTCTCGAGATTAACTCTTTTGCTGCGTGAGACGCGCTCTCGTGCGTGTTGGACCATATAAATGCTGCATCCTGCTTGGTTAACTCCCGGAGAGGTAAACACTTGTGGAGAGATTCGAACAGAATTTACTTAGATACTGACGCATGCCTAGGAAGCGTTGTACACCAGCTTTGTCCTCAGGTCGTGGCATTTTGGTGATGGCTGATACCTTGGACGGTCGGGTTCCAGGCCCTTGTGAGTCAGTCTCTCCCCCATAAAAGTGACGGACGTTGCCTTGAATTGCAGCTTCTTCGCAGAGAGACGTAAATCGTAGTCACTACATTTGTCCAATAGGCGTACCAAGTTTCTGTTGTGGTCAACATTGGCATATTCTGTGGTGTCACCGCATTGTCGTCGGCATTGTTGATGACCCCAGGAAGCCCATTGAGATATTCATGCTGTCGTCGCTGATATTCTTCGGGTCCCGAAGAAATGCCAAACGGCATTCGCGTGAAGCAGTATTGGCCATCTGGTCGCATAAAGGTGGTGAGAAGCGCGGATTCGTCGTCTAATTCAATCGTGTGGAAAGCTTCCGAGACATCTACAGTGGTAAACACTTTGGCATTCTTCAAGAGAGGACGCTTCTCTTCGATCGTTGGGATTGTGTACACAGATCTGCGGATCGCTTTGTTTATTGTTTGACTGGGATCTATACATATCCTGAGCTTTCCGTCGGGTTTCTCCTTCACCAATATATTCGATAACCACTCAGTTGGTTGCGTGACTGGCTTAATTGTCCTGTTGTCACACAGTCTTGATAGCTCCTCGTTAACTTTATCGAGCTTGGGCACTGGAATGCGACGTCTGGGAGCATGGGCCAGTGTAACACTAGGGTCCATTTCGATGTGCAGAGGGTTTCCGAGGGGCTTCCCACGCCCTGGTTCGAAAACATTCGCGTAGCAGGACGTTCTGTTTGGTGATTGATTCTAGTGCGAGATGCGAAGGTGGGGTCTTTACGTCATTATCAGCCATATGAACCTCGCCAGCAAAAATTTTTAAGAACTAACTTTATCCAGCTTCTTTAACTCCGCGCAAAAGAGGAAAGTGTTTTTGAAAGTTGACTGAAGGTAAGCCTAGATACAAATATCGCGATATTTTTTGAGATATTTAGAAGTTTTTGAGAAATTTAGAAAATGTTGAGAAATTTAGAAAAAAAAGTGATATTTAGAGCAATTATCACAAAAAAGATACTTCATAAGAACAAAAAAAAACGGGTTTATATTAATTTCGTGTCCTTTTACGAGCCAGCGATACTACCAATTCAGCAGATTTATTCTGCAGTACAATAAGATGCACCATATACAAAGTACCTACCCATTAATTCGACGCCACGTGGAATCAATCAGTCAACATGGCGGAAGTTATCGAAGTGAAAATTGAACAGGCGAGTGAACAAGAACAAAGAGGAAGAGAAGGCCCTGCAATATACATCTTTTGCTATTCAAATAATAATGTATATTTTTTTTCATTTCTTTAATTGATATAAAGCCAAAAATGGGTCAAATTAACATTAGAAAAAAATGATATTTCTGAGAAATTTAGAAGATTTTTTAAGAAATTTAGACTAAATTCAAAAGAAATTTAGGAATTTTATGAGAATTTCTAGAAAGAAATTTAGAACATTTTTTGCGATATTTGTATCTAGGCCTAGCTGAAGGTACAAAAGTGCAGTACAATTTAAAAAGTCATGATATTCATAATGAAACAATCACCCTAATGGCCAACAGGTTGGATCTGGTTGGCAAAATAGGAAGGAACTAAGTCTCATTAATTTGTGATTAATAGCGGAGCTCCACGCGCGCACGTGGTTGGAGCCCCATAACTAAGTAAATTTACCCATCCTGGAAAATTCGTAATCACGTGACCGCATCACGTCCGTCCGCATCACGGGGAAACCAATATTTATTCTCACACTTTCCAGCTTGTTTGGGAACCCAGGAGAAAACTGATTGCACATCAATGTTGTGTTCAATTGACAGCTGTCAATACAGGGTATCCGCGGACCAGTATCACCTGACCGTATCGCGGGCTCAGGTGTCGACCCAGGGAAGGTATAAGGTATGCAAGTTAAGTCGGTACAATATATCTCCCCATACATCAAGTACCTACCCATCGAGGTCGAGTATTTTTTGAAAGTATCAGCTGACAAGTTACTAGTTTTCAAATGATCGCAGGCTCAAGTTTATTTTTTTAAAAATTCATATGAAATATGATTTCGGCTCCACTATGCAGTACAACATGAGTTAGAAAAACCATTGGGTTTATTTTGGCTGTTTGGGCCGAGCACCGCAGATGTAACAATACGTTATACAACATCGTCTCTTACATTCCAACATGTGGTGGGAAAAGTAGAACAAAGCTGAGCGACAGTTTACACAGAATACTGTCAGAACAGAGGCCAGGAAAAACCTGCCAGAAAAAACCTGCCGGAAAAAAAAAAAAAACAGTAGGGAAAAAAAACTCGGCAGGTAATCTGGGTAGGATGGCTCATGCTCTGAAAAGCCCATCCCACGAAGGCTACACGGCTGGAAGGTCCTTGCCATTATTTACTTAACATGTATTCCAACAAAGCACGGCAAACTCTAAATAATTTTAGGAAACGCAAACAAGCTAAGAAATCTCTGCGAAACTCGAACTGTCACTAGCAAATCAAATGTATACTATAAAATAAATAGCTAGACGAGGTGTCTGCCTAGAATTCTTTCACCCGTGATAAGCATCCCTTTGTAGCACTGCATTCTACCCATACTGCACTTCAACTGCCCCAGTCCCCACTGCTCCCGTGCCGCAGAAATATTTCATTTCCGGCTATTTCGTATCCACTCAAACGCCGGAAATTCCATATTTCGGCTCCACTACGCAGTACAACATGAATTAGAAAAACCATTACGTTTATTTGGGCTGCTTCGGCCGAGCACCGCAGATATAACAGTACGTTATACAACAACCTAGAAGATAAAGTATAGGGCTTGACTGAACCCTGAAGAGAAAAGAAACTAAAGTCCTAAAGATTTCGAGACTACAAGACGTGAAGATATGTCGTCCTTTACGTAACCATCCTTAGCTGCGACACTTTTCCATCTGCCATGCCTCTGAAAAATTCTATCACTAACCCCACTTTTGGTAGTCCTCGACGCTCCTCCAGACCGGAAAGAGTGAGTCCCGTAAACAGAGGGATCCGGAAATATGCTCCGCAGACTTTTAGTTAACTAACCCCTGAAGACTGCACCCGAGATATGCTTATCAACTTGAACCAATTTGTAGGACGACTTGGTTTTAACGAGCGGTCGGAAAATAAATTCACTAGAGTCGGGGCTGATATCTAGTTTCTTCAAGTAATCTTTGAGTAAGAAAACCGGGCAAACATTTCCCTCGGATTGAGCAATAACCACTTCGTCACCTTGTCTAAGCTGATTAGTCTTGCCGTTTGTCTACTTTGATAGTCATGAACCCTTCTGAAAAAAAAGAATATGATTCATTCTAATATTGATAACCTCCTCAGATCTGAAAAAGACCCGCATAGGATAACACGTATAAACAAACGTTTCTAAGCTGCAGGACATTGGACAAATCAGCTCCTTTCCCAATTTCTTTGAGGACTTCAACTGATAAAGGCTCTTTCCTATTGGGTCTCCCAGCCCCGAGAATTCTCTTAGCAACTTCCCGAACTCTAGAAACTACCAGACTATCAGTAGGAGACGCCATACCGGCGCTCTCGTGGGCCCACTTAATAGCGTAAAATGCGGCATAACATAACGTATCTATTCAAGATGATGAACTAAAAATTATAAAACATCTTGAAAAGGAAAACTGGAGGTTGACCCTATGATGTTTCCCTAAATAAAATATATAAACAGATATATGCTATGTACAATATAGAATATAAAATAGACATTTAAAAACTATTTACAAGAAATAAATTGGATCACTAATGCTCAATAATATCAGTACATTGTAGATGAACAAAACAAACAACTATTGGATATTCAGGAAGCGCTTCAGCGCACTCTTAAATCGGCTCAGGCTCCCAGCCTCAACAATAGATCCTGGTAGACTATTCCAGTCCCGTACGATTCGGATAGGAAAAGAATTTTTCTATGGATTACACTTTGCTGGTTTAACATACAGTTTATACGGATGGTTAGCGCGGGTTGAATTGCACTTGGTAAATTCAAAAAGGTCGTCAAAGTTAATTTTGTTCATGCCAAAAACGATCTTATAGAATTCAACTAACGAAAGAAACAATCTACGTGTTTCGAGTGTAGGCCTCTTCAGTTTCCTTAAACGATCTCCGTATTCTATCTCACCACGTTTTTGCCCGAAAGCAAGCCGAGAGGCTCTTCGCTGAACTCTTTCTAACGCTAGCACATCTTTAGCCAAATATGGGTTCCAGGCCGGAGCAGCATATTCAAGAACCAGGCGCAAGAGAGATTTGTATAACGTACAGAACGCACCGGGATTCGACGAGCCCACCCTTCTGTGAACCAAACCCAATAATTTGTTAGCCTTATTAACGGTCACGTTAACACGTTCGCTCTAGGATAAATCCGAAGAAACCATAATGCCCAAATCCTTTACACACTTTACGCTTTTAAGACTCGTACCCAATGAGTATGCAGGGAGGGAGAAGTCTTGTTTGTGCGTTATACGTAAAACTTCCCATTTATCGGGATTAAAGCGTAGTTGCCATTTAGATGCCCAGGATAGTAAGTGATCGACATCAAATTGTAGGGCTTCGCTGTCCCTTGCTATGTTTGACAGTTCTCTGTATACTTTGGTGTCGTCCGCAAACATCCTTAATGTCATTGACGTAAATTAGAAATATCTAGTATCGACAGTATCGACGGAGCTAGAGGAGTTGGTGAATTCTAACACACGCTGTAAATAAATGGCTACATGAACAGGTTTTGCTGGTAGAAAAAAAATGTCCAATTTGCTTAAAGCAAAGTCCATCCTTTTCCTGAACGCTCGATGATACATATTTGTGGTGGCCGGAGCCCTTGCTGACAAAACAGAAATCTGAAGCCTTGAAGTGAGGCTCTGCAGATATGGGTCCTCAAAAGTTTCGGTTTCTTTCCAAACACCTCCGTTAAAAATCTCTGCAAACAAAAGGGGAGGGCAATCAGAGACAATAGAAAGAAAAAACAAACTACAAGAATGTGCAACAGTGGACTCATTTTAATTTCATAACACCTCTGTCTGAACGCATTCTTGAGGGCCATTAAAGTGTGCATAATAAATGCAAATCAAGAAAAATAAAATCTACCACTTGAAAATAATGAACCAAAAGGCAGCTGACAAACCAGCAATATTATCATTAATAAAGGAAAACTCCAATCACGAGAGCGGCCAAGCGCATGAACCAGCTCAAGAACCACGCTCCTAAAGAACATGAATAAACGAAGTACCCAAAGACTTCTCTAAAGATGGGTACCAAAGACCCTAATTATAAAAATTGCTGCATAGCGAGCAATTGTCATCTTCGACTGTACAAAAACCCAAAACAGACTGCTCAATAGGTTGCACAAAATTTAGACGCAGAGATACTACACTAAAAGACAAAACCTTCGAGCCAAAAACGTGATTCTTGGCTTTACCTCGAATAAAAAGATGCCCGAACTTGGGAAGAATCACCCAATAGTGTACAAAAGCGTTCCAGTGTTTGCCATCATCACATAGTAAAATCCAAAAATATGAAGACTTCCACATAGGAATAACTAAAGTTCCTATAGACTTACACGCTCTCATATGAGTAATAACTCTACCAATTTGCGATACCCGGATGGACCCAATTATTTTCTCCCTCCCAGTTCTGGGCGAAAGTGTCCACAGCTTCATCGCCGAGTTGGTAAAATCTCGAATTAAAGCTCGAAAGCTTGGGCAGGAAAACCAATCCACTGTGTGGGGTCCCCATTTACAATCCAACATATGAAATACGTCATCATTAATAAAGTCAAAATCAATTATTCTACTCAAAGAATCAGCCTGGCGATTAGAATCCCTAGGGATCCACTTCATTTCAAGGGAAATGCCTGAACTCGGGCAAACATGAAAAATAGAAAGCGCTAGAGACTGAAGCTCCTCAACCCTACTACCGTTATGAACGATGCTTATTACATTAGTGTTGTCAGTAAACCAAGCAATTTTTTTACCCGGAAGTCCAAGAGCAAAGGCGGAAAGTGCTAGGTCTACAGTCCTAAGCTCTCTCCAAGTAGAGCTTTTAGAACCCTCTGTAGTACTCCATTTTTGATGACAAATCTTATGCTCTCGATGAACTACAAGCGTAATCTGATGCGTCAGAATAGACAAATCTAGCGGGCGGTTGGAAAGGCACCCAGGGGCAACGAAAATTAAGAGAGTCGACGTTGTCTATCCAAAACGTCAATTCCTCACAAGCTTCTTTAGTCAACTCAACCTTAGAGTTCCATGACTGTTTCTGATTTACAACGGTGTGCAAAGCACGTGTCATAATTCTGGCAACTCAAGGAGTGAGCAAGATGACTTAGCCTACCACAGAGGCTACGTCTCTAACTTTGAAAACTTTACAGTCATCCTTACGTAAGAGAACAATGTTACTCTTTAGCTTTGACACCCTTCGCTCGGTAACCGAAATAAAACCTTGATAAGTATCAAAAACAATGCTGAGCCAGGTAATAACTTGAACAGGCTCCCAAAGGGACTTCTCTTCGTTAATAACAAAGCCGTACCTAGTAAAATCAGCGCGAACTGTCAAACTGTTGATTTTGGCCTTGATAGAATTGATACCACCCCCTAAGCCGTCATCGCCAAAAATAGCCACGGGAATTCCTTTGCACCTCCATGAAGTAAGAATAGGCTTTAATAATTTGGTGTTTAAATAGGGTGTGCATAACAACCCGAAAGGTAAAACTGTGAACTGAAAATACTTCACAACATCATCGCAAAAATCCCGGGAGAAAGCTAAGTACTTACGGTGATCAGGAAAAATTTCAGCGTGATGATAACTGGACTTCAAGTCGAACTTGAAAAGAAAAAACCCCTTCGAGAAAATTTGAAGGGCAACCGATACATCTTCGCACCTAAATTTACGCTTAAAAACATACAGATTAACATGCCTCAAATCAAGAATTAATCTCTTCTTGCCTGAAGGCTTAATGGAGACAGAAAGTGGATTAACAATATCCGGCTTGTGATCCAGAATCTCAACACACTTAGTTCTTAACAGGTCAGAAATAGCCTCAGAAACAAAATGACTATGGGTAACTGAAGAGAGATTGTTAGGACTACCTTTAGGAGGCAGAAAAGTCACGAACGGAATTTTATAACCGTCGCGGACAACGCTTAATATAAACCCTGAAGCGCCTAATTTCACCTACTGATCGTAGCACAAAGATAAACGACCACGAACGGAAGGGCTGTTATATTGCCCTGAAGTAAGCTCATAATTTAACAGCGACCTTATTTCTACTGCCTTATCAGGGTGATCTGAATTTGAAAGATCATCGTCAGAAATGTCACTAGAGCTATTTGAAACAATGGAATTGACCACACCTTGAAAATATTCTGGATCGTCGGCGGCTAGTCATTGACCGGTGGTTGACCTTGCAGTGTAAGGACACTGGGCCCTCCAATGTCCAGGTTTATTGCAGGCAAAACAGGAACCCGGTTTGGCTCGTGGCGCTCTGGTCTGCAGTATGGGAATAGGTTTCCCACTACACTGGCTAGAAGCAGCGGCCGCGGCCGTCGTTAACGTAACGTAGTGGGCTGTCTTCTGTTTGTTGGCCTTGACTTCAAACGTCCGCTTTGTTTAGCTTGGGTACGCGCCCTAGCCTCTGCTCTGATAATATTCTCCTCGTCGCCTGAATCCTCCGCAAGATCGTTACGCTTGTATTCCCGAATGAATGACCACCCAAAGTCTGACTTGTCAGCAAGCAGAATATGTTTCTGCCTCTCAGTCAATAACTTCTCACCTTTCTCAAGTGAAGCGTGAACTTTATCAAACTGACAGGCGGAACGGGCATTTTTAGCCTCTTCGATAGGGTCGCTGACTTTGAGGTTGAATCGATATTGATATTCGTTACCTCTCTTTTGTAACCGATGAGGCTCATCGAACTTAAGCTTCTTTATTTCTTGGGGCGGGAATCTGCGGTGTCCACATGCGAACGTTTCAGCTCGTTTAAGGAGTCATCAAGCAACGACTTCATAGACGGTAAGAGATTCTCGTTCTTCTTTGTAACAGTCGATTCCACAATTCTGACTACTTCGGCCTCGTCCATGATTGAGAATAAGTCACAAGGAAGACATAAATAAAAAATAACGTGAGCTAGACGAGGTGTCGGGCTAGAATTCTTTCCCACGTGATAAGCATCCCTTTATAGCACTCCATTCTAACCATACTGCACTTCAACTGCCCCAGTACCCACTGCTTCCGTGGCGCAGAAATATTTCATTTCCGGCTAATTCGTATCCACTCAAACGCCGGAAATGTCATTTGTGTTTATGTCATTATGGTCCCGCACTATTAAGATTTTGATCTTCAAACTTACCTCGGACGCGAAAATTCAGCCAGTTATTTAAATGTCATGAACCAAAATTTCGACATTTTTTATTTATTTATTTTTTATTGCCGCAACAAGTATTTACATACATTGTAGTATATACATATAGTAAAATAAAATCACACAAAAAGTCATACAAGATATTTGATTTCAAGTCAGGGACATTTTTTATTTTAGCTCAATTCGAGTGAAATGTGTTTAATATGAACCAAATATACATACTATGAAGTTTCAGCTCAATTGAAGCAAGTATCTCCGAGATATTCGCAATTAAAAGTTGCTATTTTTTGGCCCTTATTTTCGTAGAGCGGTCGGAAAAGTTGTCGGAAAAAAAAGCTTGTGACGTCAGTGTTGGTCAGGTGAAAAAAAGCGGGAAATTGGGAAAAACAGTGTTTTTCGAGTCGACTTGGCGCAGAAATTATTGTGGTTTGTGCGGCCATAAACCTGGAAAGAACAAGTAATTTTTCTTCAAAAGTTAATTGGAAGCTGTGGTTTTAACCTTCTTATTATGTATATATATATAATTTTCTTGAGGAATACATCATAGGAAAACGGACTTTAACGACATTAATTTCCTTGCGTTGTACTGGAAATGTGCGTGCGTATGTCCGATTTTTTTCAAGATGCATTCATAAAATGTGTTCATATAAGGACGTTCCTATATATATAAGATCCGGAGCTCCACTGTGGACACAGAAACAAAATATCTTTGTCTAGTGATTTGCCCAAAGAAATTCACGCTTGCCCACAATGTGTTTGAAGTCACTGAATTTTGACGTACTCGAGCTATTTTAAAACCCACGCTCGTTCGGACACTTGTAGCTTTGAATAATATATAGATTTAGCCAGGGCTAAAAGCGAAACTCACGTTAATAAATCAATAATTTGAATAATATATAGATTTAGCCAGGGATAAAAGCGAAGCTCTGGTTAATAATACATGTAAACAGAAAAAATTAAATCGTGTGATGCTAAACGGGGACGACAATAGGGCCATTTATACGAGGAAAAATAAGACGCGTCTTAAATAAGACGCTAACTTTCCGTATAAAAGGCACATTTCGTCTAAAATAAGGCGCGACCTAGCTAAGACGCGCCTTATTTTAGAACAGCCCTTATCACTTGCTTTTAGATAAGACGCGTCTTAGCTAAGACGAGAAAAACGTCGTATAAATGACCTTCGTCTTACATAAGACGCGAACGCATAGTACGCATGCGTTAATTTGTGGCGGGAAAATTATCGCTTACCCAGCGGCGGACTGGCAGGTTACTGGCGGGGAAAAGTTGTTTACAAATACAACGCGGTTTCGTTTTCTTGTCTATTTTGCTTTATTTTTTTTTCGCTCAATTACAATGAGCTCGCCGTTAAAGGCAAAATAAACACTTGGTCCATCGCGGAGGAAAAGGATTTCTCGTTATTATGTAAGGAGAAGGCGATAGCAGACCTCCTGGACAAATTCGTGACATCTGCTGGTGTAACTAGACCCTTTTAACTTTAAACTATCATAATTTATATTTACTAATCAAATTGCTATCTTCGTATCGTAAACTTACACTTAAAAAGTAAGCTCAGTTCATAAAACGAGTCAAGAACAGAAATAAGACGCAAACCATTTGTATGAGCTGTTTTCGTCTTAAGTAAGACATGCTCGTATGTAAGGTACAGTTCGCGTCTTATGTAAGACGCGTCTTATTTTCGCGTCTTATATGTACACCGAAAAACAGCTTCTTCGATCATAGTCGATTAGGCCTAGAAAACAAATTCTTCCCAAACAAAAGAAGTTAAATCTAGTTACCCAGACTTTATTTCATAAGGTTAATCCATAATCTCTTCAACCACTCCGTTGGAGAGACTATAGAGATCATTGGATATCCCCGAAACATAATTTTATGCAACACACGAGAGTCCTCGGCTGCAGCCAACTTACACTTTGAATTCCTCTGTCTAAAAGAAAGGCCAAAATAAATATAAAAAATCAGGCCGGTCTTTTTGTGTTTCGAAAAAGATTTGTGTTCGACAGGTTTACTTTACAAGTAAATCTTGGCAACAAATCTAGTGGTGTGTAAACCAGCCTTTTAAATATACCTTTTATCAGTGTTTTTATAAATACGATCTGAGGAAAACATTGATATGCCTGTTCGCCTGTTTTTGATCATACAGACCTTGAACAGAATTTGTTTTTCCTTGCCCTATTTAAACCTATAATTCTGCAGTTTTTCACAATTTTGCAAGACAAACTGCGCTCATTCAATATCCAGGACGATCGAAGCACGCGCTTCCATTGAGCAACAAATTATAGAATTGACCACATTATAAAACGTTTTCATTAAGAGAATTTTCCATAATACCGGGACTGTTTAGTCGGAAAAATCTGCTCCTATGTGATATGTAGGGTAATAATAATGGGCTTTTAGTGAGAACTATAAAAAAATTCCCAAAATCACCTATACGGCCAGCCGGGTGGGTTCTCACTTTTTTCA